TTATTATTATTTTAAATAAGCTATAAATAACAATTAAAGCTTTTTTTTCAGTGCTAATTACTAGTATGACAAATTTCAGTAGATACAATGCACATAAACCAAAATTCTTTGGGGGTCCTCATAATCTTGAAGAGCACAATAGGGGTCCTAAAACCAGAGACTTTGAAAAGTGCTCCTTTGGGGCATGCTGTGAAGAGGGCAGGGGAGGGCAGAGTGCAGAGCTGGCCCTGGGGAAGCTTCTCAGATGGCAATTTCTGCTCATTACTGGAAAAAACGCCCACAGGCAGTCTGCCCCTGGCTGGACCTTTCTGTCTTGCCTGCCACTCCCTGAACCTCCCTCTCAGCTTCCCCTTCTTGTGAAAACCCTCAGTGGCAGTCCAGGGCCCCTGTGCTGGTCATCCCCAAGTTCAGGGAGGTGTGTGGTCAAGAGGCTTTGGTGTCAGTCGGTTAGGAACCAAACAAATGACTCCATGTCCCTGAGTTGTATTTCCTTAATGTCTAAAAACACTAAAATATTTTTATGTGCTTATTGGCTATCTCTGTATTTTCTTTGGAGAAATGTCTATTCAAACTCTTCGAACATTTTGAAATTTAGACTGTCCTTTTATTGTTGAATTGTAGGAGTTCTTTATATATTCTGGATATAAGTCCCTTATAAAATCTATGACTGCATATTATTTTCTCCCACTCTGTGGTTGTGTTTTCACTTTCTTTATGGTATTCGTTGACACACAAAATTTTTAATTTTTGATAATGTCCAATTTATGTATTTTATCCCTCCTCCCTTTGATATGTGCCAAACCATGGCCAAATCAATGTGAGATCATGAACATTTATGCCTATGTTTTCTTCTAAGGGTTTATAGTTTTAGTTCTCAAATTTAAGGCAATGATCTACTTTGAGTTAATTTTTATATATGGTGTAAAGAAGGGGTCCAACATCATGTTTATGCATGTGGATATCTGGTTGTCCCAGCACCACTTGCTGGAGAGATGACTCAGTGTCTAAGTCTCAGTTACCTCATCTCGAAAACGAGCTTTAAAATGAGTCCCTGACTCAGGAAGTGATGATGGATTGGCACGCACTTTCAGACACTGGTCGCTGTTGCCAGCGTGTGACCAGACTGTTTCCATTCCCAAAGTTCTTTACATCTGTGGCCCTGTCTATACATCGCAGGAGCCCTGGGCCATCGTCAGGACGGCAGTTAGTAGCCCCTTTCCAGGAACCCCTTTTCTGAGTGGCCCTCGCAATCTTTCTTCTCCCCTTCCCTTGTTTCTCCCTTACTAACTACCTTAATTTTGCATTAAATGCGGTCTTAATTAATCAGTTTAGAATTGTTAACCCACTGAAATCTCTTTTGGCAAGTTGGTGGGAGGGCATGAAGGAAGGAATGAGTCAGTCATCTCAAAGACCCCTAATTTAAAGTCAGACAAGTGAAGCCATCGCACAGGCAACCCTGCACACAGGTGTGGGGGGGGGCCTGTGGGACACCAACTCCAGCCTCTCTCTACACTCCCCGCCCACCCTGGAGAGATCCTTTTAAACCCGTCTCCCTCCTCCATGGTGTCTGCGACACCTCCCAATTTAGTTTCTCTCTGAATTCATTAGTGCCCCATTTGCCTCCTCTTCCTGATCTAAGGCAGCGTTAAGCAGGAGGAGGATGAACTGGCAACAGGGCGCCTGCCTCCTGACTGCGGGTGAGGGGACACGCACAGCGGGCCTGGGGCTCCTGGCTGCAATTCCACATGGTGCTCTCGGCCACTTGGTTCAGGCCAATAAACGGTAACTGGAACCCTAGCTGTGCGCCAAGCACAGGAGCTCCAAGAGGAGTAGCTGTACTTGCCCTTGAAACTCCAGGCTCCAGGGACAGAGGACAATGCCCATGCCAAGTGCCACGCAGCTGGGACTGGCCCTCTTGGGCAAGCAGAGTGAGAGAGAAAAAATGAGGAAGTGAGCTGAGATGAAGGGTCAAGGGGGACACTCAAGGAAGAGGAACAGCATCTACAAAGGTGGATGGAACAATAGTGCGTAAGCAAGTACCCATATAGAATCTGTTGTGAAATAATTTGGGCATTCATTCGCTCATTCAGTATGTATTTATTGAATGCCTGCTCCGTGCCAGCTGGTATTCTAGGGGCGAGAACACTATAAGCAACCATACAAACTAAGGCCCTGCCCTTGTGGAGCTGTGTTCCGGCACGGGAGACAGAAAACAGACTTACCAAGGAATACAGAACACATCAGGTGGAGATAAATGCCAGGTAGAGAAGATGCAATGCAAGAAGCCTCAGGAAGAAGTGGCCTGGGAAGGCTGCTCTGTGCATGGGGTGGGGAGGCAGGCCTGCTGTGCACCCCTCTACCATGTCCACCTTGCTCACATCACTGGCCCCCCCGCCACTCCACGCACGTCCAGGACCTTTCAGCCCCATGTGTGCTCTGCTCACTTGGATGGTGACTTGGAGGTCTGTTCACTGCTGTTCCCTCTGCCTCCAGAGCTTTGCCTGAGACTGACTGCAAAAAAGGCTTCTATGCCTGATGCCCTGAGGCAGGAGTGTGTTTACAGTTCAAGAACAGCAAAGAGGCCATGGTGCGAGCGAGGGGTATGGAGAGATAGGGGCAGAGGGGAAAGGGGCTGGCTCGTGTAAGTCCTGGGCCCCTGTGGGGCCTTTGGCTTTTCCTCTATGTGAGATGGGAAGCCAAGGAGGCTTTGAGCAGAGGAATGATCTGCTCTGACTGTTGTTTTAACAGATGCCTTCATGCAGACTCTGGGAGGGAAAGGTGGCAGCAGAGCCTCGTGAGGGGGCTGCTGCAATAACCCATATATGAGCTAGGGGCTTGGACCAGTGTGGGGATGAGGGAGTTGATCACACATGCTGAGGAAGGGAGAGAAGTGATGGGGTCAGCGTAAATGTATGTGCAAGGAGAGGGATGGGAAGATGAAGCCAGGGAGAAAAGGGATAGCATTCGAGACAAAAGAATCCGCCAGTGCCAAGATTTGGATCCAATCCCACCCTGCCAGACTCAAGTCTGGCTCCCTATAGTCCTTCAGTCTCTTCCCTCCCTCCTTGAGCTAACAAGCCTGGCTCTGGGCGCAGCTACATGGGCAGCACTGACGTGGGGATGTGTGACCCAGGGTCTGGACTCCACGAGGCTCCCTGTGTTCACATGTGACACCCGGCAGGGCGCCTGTTAGGGGAGCCAGGGGAGAAAGGGCCAGGATGGGGGATACAGAGAGGAAGGAGAGACCGTGTTCTTGTGCTTGGATGGAGTGGGGGGCAGAATTCAATGTTTTATTCTGGCTTTCACATCATTACAAGTGAGCACAGGTAGGACTGAAGAGTTCCCATTCAGCCTGGTTATTGCACCTGGCTGAGGGAACTGCAGTTCTCTTATCTTGAAAATCCAACTGTAGGAACTACCTCATGGCGTTGTGGGAGTTAAATGTGGGACATCAAGTACTTGGCACAGTGCCTCCATAAACGTGATCCCCTTTCACCTGTCCCTCTTTATGTGAAACTCAAATCTTTCTAGATCTCTTCAGAAAGCCATTCGTCCATCCTGCCCACATTTATCCCAGTCTATGCTTGCACATTCTTTAGGCTTAGATCAGAGGCCACCTTTGTTTTTGTTCCCCGTTGCCCCCTAAGCCTAGCACGGTTCTAGGCCTATTCTTTGTATTCAACATGTCTTTGTTGAAGTGCTGCAGAAGTGATAGAATAAGAAGTTAGGTGAAATCTAGGCTCCAGCACTTGTAACTGGGAGACCTCAGATAAGATAGTGAGCTTGTCTGAGCTTCAGTTTCCTTACCTGTAGAATGGAAGTATTTTTTACTGTGGCAAAGGCAGTTATATGACTCATCAAATAGCCTTTTTCCCCCCAACATTTCTCAGAGCCTGAGAGCTCAGGCAGGACCATGTGACTACCTCTGGTCCATGGGCTGTGTGTCCCTTGTGGACTGAAGCATTTAAGGGCCAGTGCTCACCCTCTGGCTCTCTCTTCCCCTACTGCAGAGCCCGGCGCGGCCACATGTTTTCAGGCGACACAGCTAAAATACAGCACAGCTTTCATTAGCCAAGCCCTTGAGTCGAGCAGAGCCTTCCACCTACTTCGGTTAGACATGTAGCATGAGCAAGAAATAAACCTTTGCTGCATCAGGCTACTGAGATTCTGCTCCTCAGATTCTGGAGTGAATTTGTTACTGCAGCTTAAGTGAGCCTAGCAAGTCGCAGACCTCTCTACCTTGCAACACTGCTTGGAGGATAAGAAAATGTGCTTGGTTCACAGCTGGTTTTCCTTGGGTCCTGCTCCCTCCTGTATCTATTCTTCAGCCTTCTCCATGGTGAACCAGTCTCCATTCATGATTCTACCTTTCTCATGCCATGTCCCTTCTCTAGTTTGAAACATCCTTCCACATTTTCCACCCAATCCAGTGTTTCATAGTGTTTTTACCGATGCTCCTCTGCCTAGCGCTATGAGGCAAAGCCTCCGGAGAGCCATTCTGGCCACCTGGACTGGCCTCCAGACCAGCTGTCCCCTGGGCAGCTTCCCATTCATCTCTGCCTGCCCCATTCTCAACTGCGCCTCTGATCCCACCCCAGCTCAGCTGGAAATGTAACCACAGAACTCTGGACCCTGCCCTGGGCTCCTGGGCCCTAGAATGACCCTGATGGTCAATGTGCCTCTGTGACCCTGAGCCTGCCTGCTGCTTCCTGGCTGCCAGCTTCCCCGTCGTATCCCAACTGGATGTCTGGCCCTTGCCTGCCCTGCCCTCTCACTGTACTGGCTGCTGGCTTAGCTTCCAGCACCCACCAGTCCTCCGACTGCATCTGCTACTTGAGAAGGTCACCTCCACTCTGACATGACCTGTTCCATTTCTGATGCTGCTTAGTGGCAAAAGCCTTCAACCAAAAAGCATGCAAGGTTTCAGATTCCGAGATGGCATTTCTCATCAAGACCATAGGTTTGCAGTTGATGACGCAGAAAATCAGAGCAGACAAGGGGACTGACCTGGCTCCATGCCAGCACGTTCTGAAGAATCAGCAGTATCTGTGGGCCCTGCAGGCTTCTCTCCAGGGCCATCAGATCCTGGAGGACAAGGCAGGTTCCTTTCTGTTTTAACAGAGAACATAGACCCAAATTAGTGAGGTGGCGATATGTCAACTCCTTTCTCCCACATCTCTGCCCAGCAGACGTGTCAAGCGCACTCCAGTAGGAAGATGGGGGGGCTTATTCCTGGTCCCACAGCAATGAAGAGAAGCATATGGGGTCCAAAATACTCTGCAAATCCCATAAGAATGTATTTCTTTATGCAGCCTTCCTGGGAGGCTCTGGTATACTGTCCTCTGTTCTCTCAACTCCTCTTGTGCCGCAGGAGCACTGGTCTTGTCTGACAGCCATTGTTGACATGAGTTTCCTCAAGCTGATCAAACCCTCAAGGGCAGATTATAAAGGCCTCTTCACAACCCAGGTACCCAGCAAGGGCTTGGAGCAGAGGAGAAACTAGTATTTGGGAGGTAGGATGGCTATACACTATGATTGGGGTGGGGAGGGGATGGGGATGGGACATGGGGCCCAGACACTGCTCCCCACTCCATGAACACCTTTGAACCTTAGTGTCCTGCCCTATAACATGCGCTGATCCTCCCAGCAAACCACACCCCTTCCTGAGCTTCTGTGCCTCGTCTGCAAGAGGGAAACTGAGCTGGGCAGTATGTGAGGTCCTTTCCAGCCCTAGAACTCTATGATGGTGAATTTGATTCACCTCTGATCTCCAGGGCCTAGGGACATATCTGTACACAATAAAGGTATATGAAATAAGGGAGATCTTATCCCACTCAAAAGAAGAGTGAAGGGAGGCTCAAAGGTTTAAGTTATTCGCCTCAGCTCACTGTAGGAGGAGGAACTAGAATCTGAATATGGTCCTTCACCGACTCAAGATCTATGTACTTTCTCCTGCACCAGCTACTGTGCTTACCCACTGGAAATGCCACAAAATGCCTTTTTTATATAAAAGACACACTAGGCTAAAGAACAAGGCATGAAGGATACATTTAGGCATGTGAGGAAAAAAAGCATTATTTGAGGAATCCCCTGAATACATATGTGCCAAATATACCTAGGAACATAGCTAAGCAGACATCACTGATAAGGTGAGGAATGACTGGTAATTTCCATTAAACACAAAATTCTCCTAAGCGTGACGTTCTGCTAGCTTCTTCTGTGTTCCTTCTTTCTTGTAAATTCTCATTATCCTAAACAAAGAGTAACTGTATTAGGCAGGAACATTCACCAGGCTCTGCCCAAGCGGGAGGGGAGGTCCCACCTCTCCACTCTGAGAGGCCAGGCTGCACCCCCAGAGCAGAAGACCTGATGGGCTGAAATAGAATTAACAAGACAAAGTTTGGAGGTAACCCTAGAAAAGCCCTTACAAATCATACTACATTCACTAAAATAAAAAAATAGGCAGAGCCCTCGTAGGATAGGACTCTCATTGTGTGCATCTTAAATGAGCAATAATGGCTATTGTGCTCTTAATTTCTATTTACCATGCCTTATGCATTGTAAGTTTACTGGGCACAGTTTGAGAGAGAAGCAGGGGATTGTTTGACTGCAACAATGGGGATGCGAGAGGCACCTTCTCCCCAGCCCAGGGCCTTGTGGATCTTAGGACCCAGAGCCCTTGGCTCTGCCCCCAGGGGCCCTGCTGGTGTCCTAGTCATATCCAGTGACATGGATAAAACACTCAGGATCTTTCTCAAGCCCACCTCCAGGTCATAAAATTTCACTCTGTCCCCGTGGCTTCAGGTCAAAGCTTGTGCTTAGGAGCCCCGTCTGTGCCTTATGACCCCTCCACTCCCAAGGAAGCTACAGAACTAGTTTTACTCTTCTTTATTCTTGGCCTTTGGTTTCAGGGAAAACCTCCTTTTCTTCTGCTTACTCCTTTCAGTTCATATCGCTGAACTCCCTCTTGTTCAAAGCATCTCCAATAAGCATGTTATGGAGGGGAACTCCAGTTAGGAGTGGATTCAAGCATTCATTCATTCACATGCTGACTCATTCATTATATACTGAGTGTTTGTGCTATACAGATGCAGTGATGACTAAGAAGCAAATCCTGCCTTCAGGAAGCTCACAGGTTGGCAAGGAAAATAAGACAACCTGGCCACAAGTAGCTATCATGCTTGGCAGTTTTGTATGAGACAAGACAGACGTAAACCAGTGAAAGGACAGAGGATGGAGAGATCACCTTGGCTGACAAATCAAGGGGCACTTACTGGACAATGTATCATTTAAGCTCAGCCTTGCACCAGAGATGGTGTTAGGTGGGTGGCTTGGGGATAGGGCAGGGTTCCATGTGAGGGAGTAAAGGCCTGGGGGTCCGGGGGAGCATGACAAAGAACAAGTGCATGGCTCAGCTTCCCAGAGTGTGAGCCGTCTGGAGGGAAGCAGAAGGCATCACCTGACAGGTGATGTAGGCCCTAACAAGCAGGGCCCTGGAAGCCCAGCCACAGAAGGTCACTCAGTGAGCACGAGGGAGCCGTGACAAGCTTCGAGCATAGATGTGATGTACCTGGAGGTCTGTTGCAGGAAAATGAATTTGGTAAGGCTTGTACAGTATGAACTAGAAGGAGAGGAGGCTTCTGTGTGCCAAGCACTGAGTAGTGTTAGATGCTGGTACATATTTGATCTCATTTAACCTCCTAAACAACTGCAGAAGGCAAGCACTATCCTTCCAGACTGGCAGACGAGAAAAGGAGGCTTCAGGGAATCTAACTTGCTCGTCTGTAATCTCCAGCTAGGAAGCAGTGGAGACAAGATCTGACTCCTGTTCTTTCCCTTTCCAGACAAGCCATAAAGTGTGCTGTGATCTGCGCATGACACCTGTACACGGGACACACTCCGTACACCTTCTGCTCCCAGGGCACGGTCCCAGCTGCCTGAGTGGGTGGAAGTGTGACCATTTCCTGGGCTACCTTTTGAGAAGACCAGGTGGAGCCAAGTGCAGAGTGCCTTTGCTTCTGTTAGCTTTCCCCACAGGGACCACAAACCATGGAGATAAAACAATGCCTTGGGTTGGGTCGCATTCAACACAGCCTGGAGTCTCCTGTAGAGAATTTCAAAGGTAGTAGGAGACCCCCACCTCCCTCGCAGGGAGTCTTCTGTCTTTCCCTGCTCAGCTAAGCTGAGGTTACAGGAGCCCAGGGGAACATCTTCTGGATAGCCGCGAATTTGCTTGGGCCATGTAGCATGTCAGTGAGGAGCCCAGTGTTTCTACGCATTGGGCCGACTTCACTGTTCGGGAGGATTGCCCTGAGGACTCAGTGCGCTCGGACGGGATTGTCACATCTGCAGGCTGGAGATGATGATCATGAATCATTCCCATCAAGATGCCTGCTGTCAAAACTTGGGTATTTTCAAGGGAAAAAAACGACTTCTTCATTCTAAACACAGGACACAGCGACAGCTGTGCCATCCACCTGACCATCAAGGGTGCAGGTTTTCCTAGAGGAAGGCTGGTGCGGCAGCAAGAGCAGGAGCCTGAGAAGCAGACAGAGTGGGTCTGAATCACAGGCCCCCCAGGTACCAGCGATGCAGCCTTGGGCAAACCACTTAGCTCCTTAAGTAAGTTTCCTCCTTGAATGGGAATGGTAATAAGGGATCAGAGAGACCGAACACAAGACCCTCGGTACCTCCATAAGAATGTATAATGATTTCTTCTAATCTTTTTATGCTCAACATTCTGGACACTGCTCTCGCACTGAAGCTGCTCTCCTCTGCACAGGTACCAATTGAAGAAATGGATTTTGGGAGGAAAAAATACTGAAACTATAGCAAGTTGCTGGTATCTTTGACCTAGTGCTTATTACCAGTGTCTTAAAACTATCTGCTGGCATGTCTTTCTCTTCCACCAGACTGGGAGCTCCTTGAAGATGGTGACTGCTATATCTTGAATTCCCAGCACGCAACTGTCCCTTTCTATCTTAGTTCCCTTATTTTGAGATCCACACAGACCACGGAGTCTGCAGTTCTTCTGGGATTGTATTTTCCCAGCCTGGTTTCAAGAGGGCCGAAAAGCAACACCTTCAAGGGCACATCCACAATCCTCTGAAAACCGTCTCATTATCATGTAATCATTAGCATGGTCTACTTCACCTTGTCACTGTGCTAGGAGCTTTGGTCTCTAATCCAAGCCAATTATATGTGCCAAAATATTCAGTAACATCTTAATAATGCCAAACCTCCCAGGTCTCAGGACAGAATTGGACTAGGCTGAGAGATCTGGGGTCTAACGGGATACAGGAAAGGCACATGGCAGACAGAAAGGAATGAAGTTCCAAAACGGGATTCAAATCCTGGCTTGTGCTGTTGGGACAACCAGGATAAATGCTCAGTAAAGGTTAATTCCCATCTCCTCCCCTGACTCTAGGGAAAAGCAAAGCTGTAAAACTTGTTGCAAGTAAACAGGGAGAAAAGAGAAGATTCACCACATGCCTGAGTCCATTTAGAATATGGATTTTTTTAAAGCTTTTCTCCCTACAGACTGAAAGAAGCAGGTTATTTCATTGTAATTATGGCAGCTGCAGGTACTGCTTCTAGACTCAAAGACCCATTTTCAGATCATAAAGAAAACACACACACACACACACACACACACACTCTCTCTCTCTCTCTCTCTCTCTCTCTCTCTCTCTCTCTCTCTCTCTCTCTCTCTCTCTCTCTCTCTCACTGACAGAACCAGCTATATACACAGAATGATACTTCCTTCAGAGAGAAAGTCAATAGGGTGGAAAAATCTGAAATACCCTGCCTGAGACATTTAGGTCCAGGTGGAAATCCCTGAGCATGCTCAGCTCACTTCTCCCCCCACCTCACCTCCCCTCTGCCCCCAAATGCAAGTCCAGCCTGGGAGCCACACAGTGTAATGGAATGTTTCATGTCAAGCAGCTCTGTGTGTTTAATGCACACAGGGGGGAATAAAGGCAGCAGATGGCTGTATGTAATCTTCCTGTGAATTTTTAACTGGCACCCTCATTCATGAAGGACGGAGTGTTTTTTTTTTACAGGTCCTCTGTGGTGAGGATGTGCCTGTTGCTCAGGGAAGCTGACAG